GAACAAGCCCCTTTCTTTTCTTTACTGTAATTCTTGATCACTTGCTTAGTGGCCAATCAAAGTTATGACAGAAGCCCCCTCCCAAAGGTACTTATGACCCAGTTCTGAAGACTCGATGGCTGCCCCCTCCACCCATGATCAAGTGACCTATTTTGGGTGCTTGGATACTTGGCAGTTATGGTTGTTTGCAAAATCCCACAGTCATGTGCTCCAACACTGGAAGTTTTTAAGAAGAAACTGGACAACCATTTGTCCGAAATGGTATAGGGTTACCTGTCTGAGCAGGGGGTTGGCAGTTAGAAATTATTATTATTATTATTATTATGGATCATCGCACAGTCAGCCAGATGTTCAGACTGGATTTGGCATTTTATCTATCTATCGAGTCCTTACCCAGGACCTGGGATAGGCAGATGTGGATGTTTGATGGTATTACAGATATCGTCGCAGGATGGAAGCAGTTCCTAATAAGGTCGCCTTTTGCAATTGACTAATAGCGAATTTGTCAATGCCAATTGTGTTCAAGTGGTGCTTATTATTATTATTATTATTATTATTATTATTATTATTATTATTATTATGGATCATCGCACAGTCAGCCAGATGTTCAGACTGGATTTGGCATTTTGTCTACTTATCAAGTCCTTACCCAGGACCTGGGATAGGCAGATGTGGATGTTTGATGGTATTACAGGTATCGTCGCAGGATGGAAGCAGTTCCTAGTAAGGCCACCTTTTGCAATTGACTAATAGCGAATTTGTCAATGCCAATGGTGTTCAAGTGGTGCTCCAGATGTTTTGGGATTGCACCCAAAGAGCCTATTACTATTGGTACTATTATTATTATTATTATTATTATTGATCATCGCACAGTCAGCCAGATGTTCAGACTGGATTTGGCATTTTGTCTACCTTTCGAGTCCTTACCCAGGACCTGGGATAGGCAGATGTGGATGTTTGATGGTATTAAAGGTATCGTCGCAGGATGGAAGCAGTTCCTATTAAGGCCGCCTTTTGCAATTGACTAATAGCGAATTTGTCAATGCCAATGGTGTTCAAGTGGTGCTCCAGATGTTTTGGGATTGCACCCAAAGAGCCTATTACTATTGGTACTATTATTATTATTATTATTATTATTATTATTATTATTATTATTGATCAGTCAGCCAGATGTTCAGACTGGATTTGGCATTTTGTCTACCTTTCGAGTCCTTACTCAGGACCTGGGATAGGCAGATGTGGATGTTTGATGGTATTACAGATATCGTCGCAGGATGGAAGCAGTTCCTAGTAAGGCTGCCTTTTGCAATTGACTAATAGCGAATTTGTCAATGCCAATAGTGTTCAAGTGGTGCTCCAGTTGTTTTGGGATTGCACCCAAGGCACCTATGACTATTGGTAGTACCCTTGCTTGCTTTTGCCACAGTCTTTCTATTTCTATTTGTAGGTCTTTGTATTTTGTTATCTTCTCCAGTTCTTTCTCTTCTATTCTGCTGTCTCCAGGCACTGCCACATCCACTATCCAGACTTTTTTGTCTTTCTTATCGACAATTGTTAAGTCTGGGGTGTTATGTTGCAGGTGCTTGTCTGTTTGAATTCTGAAGTCCCAGAGCAGTTTAATTTTATCATTTTCTATGACTTTCTCTATTTTATGATCCCACCAGTTTTTGCTTACAGGCAAATGATATTTTTTGCAGATCTTCCAATGCACCATTGTTGCTACTTTGTCATGCCGCTGCTTGTAATCAGTCTGTGCAATCTTCTTGCAACAGCTTACCAGGTGGTCCACTGTTTCTTCAGCTTCTTTGCATAGGCGGCACTTACTGTCTGTTGCTGTCTTCTCAATTTTGACTTTATATGCATTTGTCCTTAAGGCTTGGTCTTGTGCAGCCAGAATTAGTCCCTCGGTCTCTTTCTTCAATTTTCCTGCTCTTAGCCATTGCCAGGTCTTGTTATTATCTGCTTTCCCAGCTATTTTTTTAATGTATTGGCCATGTAGTGCTTTGTCTTCCCAAGCCTCTATTCTGTTCTTCATTTGGTCTTTCTTGTAGGCCAGCTTGATCTCTCCAGTAGTCATTATTGTTGTTGTTGTTGTTGTTGTTATTATTATTATATCATGGTGGCCTTACTTACAAATCCAAACAACATATCAGAAAGATCTAAAGACACTGGGATTTTATAAAGAACAGATAGATTTTGATCAAATACTCTTGAAAACAGATGAAAATTTGATTAAGAAACTTTATAGATTTCTGCTAAAATGGAAGATGGAAGAAGAACAAGTAAAAGAGACAATGATAGTTTGGGCAAAAAAATTCTGGTACTCTATAGATCTAGAATAGCGGTTCTCAACCTGTGGGTCGTGACCCTTTTGGGGGTCAAACAACGCTTTCACAGGGGTCACCTAAGACCATCGGAAAACACATATTTCCGATGTTCTTTAGAAACCAAGACACTGCTCCTCTATCCAGCCACTGCCACCGCCCTCCTCCACTGCCCTCCTCCTCCACCTCCAGGGCGCCCTTCTCCTCCAACAGCGCCTGCTCCTGCCACTGCAGCACCGATACCGCCCCGGGTTGGCTCAGCAGCCTGTCCGAGCCAAGCCAGGTCTGGTCTGCTCCATTGCTGCAGCTGCTGCCAGCTGTGCTCAGCTGCAACGACGAACCAGTCTCCACTCCTCCTGGTTGCCCAGCCGCGCTCTGCCCCTGCCTGCCCTCCGCGCCATGCGGGAGCCTCCCCCGCATGGCCCGACCAGCTACCTTTGCTGTCGGAGGCCGCCTCAGCCCTCTGGTGCCCGGCGTGGCCGTGGGACTGCCAGGCAGGAGCGGCTCTTCCCTGCTCGCCTGGCTCCGGGCCTCGGAAGCGGTCAGGGGGCGGGGAAGAGGGCGAGGCGGTGGCAATGCCCACATGTGCGTTGGAGGCCAGCTGGCTGGGCTGGGAGGGGAGAAGCGGTGCCTTCCAAGCAGGAGCTGGCGCTCCGGCTGCACCCCTCTCACGTGTGATGGGCTGCGCAGCATGGAAAGGGGCTCCCGCAACCCCGCCGCTGCGATGGCACTCAGGAGGCTGGAGGGGTGGGCAGGTCCCAGGGGGCAGCTGGGAGAAGGCAAGAGGTGCCGGGATGAGGAGGGGGGGCTCCAGGTTGGCAGGTGTGAGAGGGCAGCCGGCGGCTCCAAGGCACGCGGATCCTCCACGCAGCTTCCAAGGCCCCGGATGTCCCGCCACTTGGCTCTCCACCAGGCTCTCCACCACCCCCCTCCCCGGACAATTGTGCGGAGATGCTTGTGCGACCTTGGCAGCACCTCCCCCCTTCAATCTCCTTCCTTCTCCATCTCCTTCCTTTCCCATTCAATCTTCCTCCCTTCCTTCCATCTCCAACTCCATCCCTTCCCCTTCAATCTCCCTCTTCTTCCTTCCTTCCCCCTTCAATCTCCTTCCTTCTCCATCTCCTTCCTTTCCCCTTCAATCTTCCTTCCTTCTCCATCTCCTTCCTTTCACCTTCAATCTTCCTTCCTTCCTTCTCCATCTCCATCCCTTGGCGGGTGTGAGAGGGCGGCCAGTGGCTCCGAGGCACGCGGATCATCCGCGCAGCTTCCGAGGCCCCGGATGTGCCGCCACTTGGCTCTCCACCAGGCTCTCCACCAGAGCCTCCCCCTCGGGCAATTGTGCAGAGGTGATTGTGCGTCCTTGGCAGCACCTCCCCCTTCAATCTCTCTCTCCTTTCTTCCTTCGTTCCCCCTTCAATCTCCTTCCTTGTCCATCTCCTTCCTTTCCCCTTCAATCTCCTTCCTTTCCCCTTCAATCTTCCTTCCTTCCTTCTTTCTGTCTCCATCTCCATCTCTTCCCCTTCAATCCTTCCTTCTTTCCTTCCCCCTTCAATCTCCTTCCTTCTCCATCACCTTCCTTTCCCCTTCATCTTCCTTCCTTCTCCATCTTCTTCCTTTCACCTTCAATCTTCCTTCCTTCCTTCCATCTCCATCTCCATCCCTTCCCCTTCAATCTCTCTCTCTCTCCTTCCTTCCTTCCTTCCTTCCTTCCTTCCTTTCCCCTTCAATCTCCTTCCTTCTCCATTTCCTTCCTTTCCCCTTCAATCTTCCTTCCTTCCTTCCCCTTCCCTCCCTCCCAACATTTTTGAGTAAGGAAGAGTAAACTTCTCCAGCGAGCATTGCTATATTGTTTTTGTGATTAATCACTGTTTTAATTATGTTCAATTCGTAACAATGAAAATACACCCTGCATATCAGATATTTACATTACGATTCATAATAGTAGCAAAATTACAGTTATGAAGTAGCAACGAAAATAATTTTATGGTTGGGGGTCACCACAACATGAGAAACTGTATTAAAGGGTCGCGGCATTAGGAAGGTTGAGAACCACTGATCTAGAAGCTTGGCAAAAGCTTTGGGATAGAAATATTAAACTGACTAAAGCAGCCTCATATAAGGAAAACCTGTATAAAATGTTTTATAGCACATGACACCAGTAAGGTTAGCGAAAATGTTTAAAGGTGTTTCGAATAACTGTTGGAAATGTAAACAAAAGTCAAGTACTTACTACCATATCTGGTGGGTATGTCCTAGTGCAATGAAATTTTGGTCCAAGATTCATATATGGCTGGAAAAGATGACTAAAGTACAAATAGAATTTAAGCCAGAATTGTTTTTGTTAGGATACTAGGATCTAATTATGGCAAAGAGAATGAGTATTTAATATTACATATATTGACAGCTGTGACACTAGCATTTGCCCAATATTGGAAAAATGAAAATGTACCATCAGATGAGATCATAATTAGGAAAATTCTAGAATGTGCAGAAATAGATAAACTAACCTTAGAGATTAAAGACAGTTTATTTTAAAACATGGGAAATTTTTTATCAATGTTTAGCAAAACGAGTTAATGAAAATTGATTCTTAAATTTAGTAAGATGATTAATGCTTATTGATTAATTGATATGTTTTATAATTATTGCTATTTTTGTTGACTACAGCTACTTATGATTATATTAACTATTCCCACTGAATACTTGAACCGGATGATAGTTTGTTCGCTAAAGCTTGGAATGTCATTGGGGGCAACCCCATTGTTGTGCCTACCCCCATCCCAATCCCTTCCCTGAACACCACCCTGAACCCCATTACCTATACCGACCCTTTTTTCCCCATACCTTTATAAAACTTAATAAAATACTTATTAAAAAAACTGGATTTAAAAATGGCCAAAATGAAGAACAATTTTCACTGGACTGAACAACTGACTGAAGTTGATTTGAATGTGGACTTCAAAATGACACATTATAAGAATGATATAGGAGTGACTTGGATAATTGTCTTATTTTGGATTTACAAAAGAAAAATGTTAAAGTTTGGAAAGAGTTTCTGAGAAGAGACAAAGAAAAAAATGAAAGGAAATCGAGTTCTGGGACATTGTTTAAAGGGATTAAAGATGAAGAATGTTGAAAGCAAAGGTAAGGTATATAACGTTGGTTTATTTGATTAAAGGCAAAATATACAGTACATGTTGTTATTTCTGGATCAGGGCCAAATGATGAGGGCTTAAGATGGACAGATGGTTTAAGATATGTATTTATAAGCAAGGGTGTAGGTATATAACTATATTGTATATAGTGTATTTATATGTGTGTTATGTATGTGTACACTTTTGAGAGCAGGCAACAGAATTTAATTTTTAATGTGTGCCAGTGTGCACACTGACAATAAAGGGTATCGTATCTTATCTTATCTTGTCTCGTCTCGTCTCGCCTTGCTTTGCCTCATCTCATGAGCCGAGGTGGCGCAGCAGTTAGAGTGCAGTACTGCAGGCCACTTTAGCTGACTATGTTCAGCAGGTCAGCGGTTCAAATCTCACCGGCTCAAGGTTGACTCAGCCTTCCATCCTTCCGGGGTAGGTAAAATGAGGACCCAGATTGTTGGGGGCAATGTGTGTGTATATATATATATATATATATATATATATATATATATATATATATACACACACACACATTGCTTACTGGTGTACACCGCTTAGAGAGTGCTTGCACTTACAGCAGTATATAAGTCTCATAAATAAATAAATAAATAAATAAATCTCAAGGATATGTTTATAGATAAGAGAAAAGATATCAGAAGAAGAGATTATTCAACTACTGAAACTGTACTTGTGATGAAGAGGGAACTCATTTTTTATGTAGTTTTTTTAACTATATTTTTTTAAGTTTTCATTTTTTCTCAATACTTTTTTTCTTTTTACTCTTATAGTTTTCTTAATTTGTATTAGTTTTTATCTCTGTAACTGTAAACTTTAATTTAAAAAAAATATTGTAAAAAAATTAAAATGAGTTGTTTGCATCTTTACAATATTTAGAGTGCTATTTTAATGACTATAAATCTAAATTCTCCAATCTGGGAACCATCTACAGTAGATGTGTGGCCTTCAAATCCTAGAATTCCCCAAGAACATGGCCAGCAAGGGTGGAATCAAACTTCACATATTGATCAGCATTCTGATGGGGAAAAATGAGGACAGAGGAAAATAAATAAATGGGATGCCCTGGGCGTTAGAGGATTGCTGCCTTGTTTCTTTCTTTTAAAGGTTCATTTCTAGTCAGATGCCTGGGCCAGCACCTGCAGTTTTGTTGGCAAGATTTTTGAAACTGATTTGCCATTCTCTACTTCCTGGAACTGAAAGAGAGGGACTGACCTAAGATCACCCAGCTGGCCTTGAGTCTAACATGGGACCTGAACTCACAGTTTCTCTTCTAATAAAATATATGGCATCTAATATTATTTATGCTTTCCTTATCAAATTTCTTTAACAGTTTTTTCAGATGATTCTTGAACATTATTCTTCTCAATCTGGTCCTATTTCAACAACAGAGCTTTTCTTTTTCCTAAAATAAAGCTGCAGACAACTGACAGTCCATTCAAAATCCCTTGAGGGGCTTTAAGAGGAAACACAGAGCAGGAGTTCCCCTTCTTTTCAGGCTGAGGGTTGCCCTCGGCCTTTGAGACGCAGGCCAAGGCGGCACTCCAAAATGTAAGCAAAGGAATAGAAGAGGCTAAGACAAAAACTAATTTTGATTTCCTTTGAAAGCAGAAGCAGTTTACAAAATGCAGTCAAGAGGATTTCTCTTCATGTATTTAATTATTCTCCTTTCTTTGAGAAGAACAGTCACCATTCAGCGAGTTTGGGAGGCCCTCTGGGCATTATGCCCAAGGCTTTAGCGAATCTATGTGTTTTCTTAATTAAATTTCTCTTTAACGTGCAAAAAGTGATTGTCACTTATGGCCTCTTTTTTTAAAAAAAAATCAAACGTAAACACTTCCTGAAAAATGGATGGACTCAATTATAGCAGCAATGGGTGCAAACGTAGGAGACTGAAGGACCACGCTGGGGACAGACGAACCTGGATAAACTCTATCTATATGGTCACTTGGTGGCACATAATCAAAATACTTCCTCTAATTCAAAATTCAAATCTAAAATATATCCATAAAATCAGTGAAAGTTGCTTTTAAGTAAACATGTTTGAGATTAAGGAGAAACATACAATTTGAGCCATCTGTCACATTCAGACTTAGAATATGAATGTTTGTAGGAAATATATTTCTGCCTTGGTAGATTAGGAAAGCCCACAGCAGCTATATCTCTCTGAAATTCACTTTTGTTATGGTCTTTAAATTATAAAACAAAGTCATTTCAGTAGTCCACAGATGCATTGCAACTCAGCATTCAAAAGTTGCTATTAACACTTGTCTTCTTGCACTCACTGAAACTATGATGAAAAAGCAGCCTAAATATATTTATATCTTTTAGTGAGGAGATGACTGAATGTAACAACAGTGTTCCAGAGTTATGACCCTACATAACTCTCTACAGCTGTTGCTACTTTACCTCTCTTTCTCCAATTCATTTTCTTTATTATTTATAGCAATAGCACTTAGACTATATACTGCTTCATGGTGCTTTACGGCCCTCTCTAAGTGGTTTATAGAGTCAGCCTATTGCCCCCAACAATCTGGGTCCTCATTTTACCGACCTCGGAAGGATGGAAGGCTGAGTCAACCTTGAGCTGCTCAGAATCGAACTCCTGGAGTAAGTAGTGAGTTAGTCTGCAGTACTGCATTCTAACCACTGTGCTACCACAGCTCTTTAGCTATTAGCTATTGATATGCACTATTATAGAGTAAATGCAATAGAATGCTTAAAGTTCATTTCTTTTCTCAACCATAGAAGCTTGACTGATTAGGTGCCATTAAATTGGTGGTGACTCTTATCACTACCCAGATATATTTTCTCCATCCAGGTCCTTCAGTCCCAATGGTGTGCCCATTACTGATATAATGGAATCTAATATTCTTGCTGATGCTCATTTTGAGCAAGGTTCTTATTTTGGAGATAGATTTGGAGAAGAAAACACTATATGATCACAGGAGTTCTTGGAAGTAAAATGAATAAAATGAAGTAACAAATAAACTAAAATTATAAATAAAGTATAAATAAAGTAACAAATACATAACTTCACCTGTTCCTTTTCCTTCTAGTTGTATTATTATTGATCCAAAGATATACAAGCAGTTGTGCTGTTTCATGAGCTCTTAAGCAAAAGCTGGCAAAAGATATTATGGATGTGATTTTGTAAAAAAGGTTGTGCCTTAATCTGACTTTCATGTCATTTTCTTTATTTCATGATTTTGTATTTACTGAACAAAAAGTTTTTTCTTATTCTAGGGGAAAAATGGGAATTAGCATAATTTGTAGAACAAATCTGACTTGTTTCAAAGAAGTCAAACATTGATAAACTTATACAAAATTACTCATTATTATTTGGAATGATAAATTTTAAAACAGTCAGATCCATCAGATGTCTTTTGTTTTCCCTCAACAAAATCCTAAATTATTGTCCTTCCTTGTTACATATATGCTGGATGTGTCTGGTTTATTTTTAAAAAAGTTCTTCTAATATAGAAGGAGTATGCAACTCATGAAAGGTTTTCTCTGATTCCAAATAAATTCAAACTCTCTTGAAATGAGGCTGTGTTTTGCAAAACAAGAAAAAGAAAGAAATCATCGATGATGTTACCATGTTTGGGTAATGAAACACCTGCAAGAGAACAACTTAGCTCAGACAACACCAGGGACCCCTCATTTCAACCATGAGCTGCAAATATTCTCCTTTATTAGAAAGAAATCACATTTTCTCTCTTTCACTTCCACTTATTCAATTAAATTATATTTAACGAAAAGTATGTAGGTTTTTTTATTTACAATTATTTATCAAACACAAGCCCCACATGTGCATTGTTAAACACCATTCCAAATTAAATAGAGTGCGACTTTCCAGTGAGGTTGGTCATGTATGCATTCATTTCTTTTTTCTTTTCTGCCAGGTTAGGAAAAAAAAGTCACAATTTGGTTACAACTTCCAGAGGTCTTTGGTGGCCATTCCCAAGTCCCAAGGAAGCTGTTTACAGCCCCAGGGTGTCTGATTGTGCACCTACTCTTTAGATCAGTGGATAAGCCTGGAAATAGGAGATGTGGCCAAGAAAGGGATCAGGTAAGATTATGTAAACAACCACTCTGCCTTGAAAATGGGTTTCTGACATCTCTCCGGTTGTTGTCAAAGGACAATTGGCACTCCTCACATTTCAGACCTCATGCTTGGATGCTTTCATCTGAAACTCTTTAGGTAATAGTAGCCTTTCAATGTTATGATATCTCTGGATGGGATTCAGTAAAAGAAACTCCCTTTTTTGCTTAAGCCCTGGACTCTGTCCAGACAGCCTTGACAAACGTGAACCGACTTCCAAAGAAAACAATAACAGTGCAGCATCGGAGGCTTTCTCTTCTTTTCCTTCTTTCATTTCCCACTTCTAATCTCACACCCGAGTTGTTGGGTTGCCTTTCCTGTTTTATTTCCTCGGTCAATAATCTTGGAAGCCAGGAACCTTTTAAGAAAGAAAGAAAGAAAGAAAGAAAGAAAGAAAGAAAGAAAGAAAGAAAGAAAGAAAGAAAGAAAGAAAGAAAGAAAGAAAGAAACCTCCTTGGCTTAAATGGTAGCTCAGCAACAAGAACGAGTGTGAATTCAAGCAGCAAAAGTCTCGCTTGCTTGCTCGCTGACCTTTGCCATGCAAGGAAGCTGCAGAATAAAACCATTGCTCTAGGTGAGCTTAAGCATTACATTATAGCCACCAGTTTTCCATTACACGTTCAATAGAATTGCTTTACTGTCATTAACCAAAAAAAAAAAAAGCTAAGGAAAGCAAACACTCAGAAAGTCAAGCTAAGTGCCAGGGTTTTTCTTCTTTTCTCTCTCTCTCTGTTTTATTTGGTGTCTTTCAGTTTACTAAGCTTTTTTTTTCTTTTCTTCCATTTCTGGCTTTGACTGAGACACAAGTTATATTTCCCTAAATGAATACGGGGATTTTTAATGGGGTAGAAACAGGATCATCATCATCATCATCATCATCATCATCATCATCATCATCACAATCCATTTCTGTCTCTCACCTATGCTGGGTGCTGAAAAGTGAAGGAAACACAGCTTGGAGATGAAATTCCACCATCTACTCTCCAGATAACATATGTGGCTCTCCTTACCATCCTACTTCAATCCACGCTCTTCTGCAATTTCATTTTGACACCTGAAAATGTAATCACTGTAAATAAAACAGTTCAGAACATTTTTCCTCCTTCTCAAAGGAGGGAGAATAGGACAGGAAGCAAAACACATGCACACCCCCATCTAGCAAAGATTAGCAAGGCCAAGCACTCATTTTAAAAACGTGATTCCCTGCTCTTCAATTCTCTGGGGCAATTCATAGATCTGCCTTACCTGCATATTTATTTCACTTGCTGGGATGTGTGGAGTATGAACAAGGCTAAAAAAATTTACAAGGGATAACTTCCAGGATGACTTATGCTGAAAGTCATAATTAAATTAAATTACTCCAGATTATGTTCTGTTACAGCAATAGCAATAGCACTTAGACTTATATACTGCTTTATAAGGCTTTGCAGCCTTCTCTAAGGCGTTTACAGAGCCAGCATATTGCCCTCAACAATCTGGGTCCTCATTTTACCGACCTCAGAAGGATGGAAGGCTGAGTCAACTTTAGCTGGTGAGGATCGAACTGCCAAACAGCTGGCAGTCGGCAGTCCGCAGAAGTAGCCTTCAGTACTGCATTCTAACCACTGCGCCACCACGGCTGATGTTGCTATGTTGTTGTGTTGTGTTGTGTTGTGTTGTGTTATGTTATGTTATGTTATGTTATGTTATGTTATGTATACCTGTATTTGTTAATATACTGATGAAATTAAATATCCCATATTTTCTGGCACCTGTTTAAACTTTTTTAAATATTTTTTTTAATACAGCAACTTCTCCAAATAGCATGGACAGGCAATTTAGGGAGCCAGTGGGCCCAGTGGTGGGATTCAGCCGGTTCGTACCACTTCAGCAGAACCGGTAGCTAATGTTTTGTTGCCTAGGCCCAGAATGGACTTCCAGAATCAGCATCCACATAGAGAACCGGTTGTTCACATATTTGAATCCCATCACTGAATGGGCCTGATTACAATTTGGAGATCAGCTTTTTCTAAACTCCTGTCATGGGCCAGGCTGGACTAGCCTAGGTGTGGCTTACACCAAACACCAATTGCTGAGAATGCTTCTTATCATTCTGTCTAACTTCCCAGTTCCTATCATTTTAGTTTATTTTTGCCTTTTTAAAAAACTAGTGTCTACACTTACAAATAAAATTCTGGATTACAGAGAGCCATCAATTTATATGTTAAAACTAGAAATTAGTCCTATGTGTTACATAGAGCAATTCCTGTAAGATGACGTTTCATTTGTCTTTGCAGCTATTTGAACATAAATCATGGTTATTCTCCTGTGGCCTGCAACATGGGACAAATTATCCTGTAGATCTGCTGTACGCATCATAACAAACTGGTTTCGAATTATGCATGTCTTCACTCCAATTATGAACAAAGTATGCTCTTCCCAGAACATTCTGTTCTAGGCATTCAAGATGCATGCTGCTTCTGTGGATATTCCCTTGTTCCCTTTTTAGGGGATTTTCTTTGAAAAGAGAAGGACAAGTTTGACTGAACTTTTTATAACATTCAATAAATGAATCAGAGCAATTAAAAGTGTACTTGTGCTTTTCCTATGCTATTATATGAAAAATGTCAAATATCAAATGGACAGTTTCCTCTGATAAAGTTTTGAGGACTTCTGAAATGTACTGGTTTTCCACCTTTATTGCATTTTCAACTATGTCCAGCTTTAGGCAATATGTTAAGCCTAACTATATTATGTCATATCAAGATGTGCAACTGTGCTCATTCACACATGTGGGAACATACACACTTATGGGAGTGAAGAGTCTGCATGTGAAGTATAAGAACTTAAGCAATAAACTTAAGTATAACTATAAGATATTCTTAAAGTACGTATAGTCCAGGCCATGGTTTTCCCAGTTGCAATGTATGGCTGTGAAAGTTGGACCATAAGAAAGGCTGAGCGCAAAAGAATTGAGGCCTTTGAACTATGGTGCTGGAGAAGACTCCTGCGAGTCCCCTGGACTGCAAGGCCATCAAACCGGTCAGTCCTAGAGGAGATCAACCCTGACTGCTCTTTAGAAAGCCAGATCCTGAAGTTGAAACTCAAGTACTTTGGCCACCTAATGAGAAGGAAAGACTCACTGGAGAAGGGCCTAATGCTGGGAAAGATTGAGGGCAATAGAAGAAGGGGACGACAAAGAATGAGATGGCTGGATGGAGTCACTGAAGCAGTAGGTGTGAATTTAAATGGACTCCAGAAGATGGTAGAGGACAGGAAGACCTGGAGGAATGTTGTCCATGGGGTCGCGATGGGTCGGACACGACTTCGCAATTAACAACAACAAAGATATTCTTAAGCAATAAAAACAAGTATCTTTGTGGGTCCAAAGATACTTGTTTTATTGCTTAAGAATATCAATGGACTGTTTCATTACATGAAAAAATTAATGCAAAATTTAACTCAGACTGTGTTGCTTATTCAGAGAAGATAGAAGGAACAAAAAATGATGGGATAGATACTTCATACAGATATTGTCTGGCCTAAAAACACTTCTAAGATTGAAAAGTCTTTATTAACTTGGATGAAAAGGAACAGCATCAATTTACTTTTCTGCAACAACTCAAATATCAAAATATGTAATATTTAAATTAAATTACAATACAAAATAAAACACTTCAAGTTCTCACAATCAAATTACAAAATATTAGTCGAGATTTTATTTTAAATAAGTGGAGAAAATCACACAATATAATGAGCGGCAAACAGTAGCAAAAGAAAAAGGATAGTACCAACAGTCATAGGCGCCTTGGGTGCAATTCCCAAATATCTGGATCACCATTTGAACATCATCGGCATTGACCAAACTACCATCAGTCAATTGCAAAAGGCAGCTTTACTTGGAATAGCGATGATACCTTTAACACCATCAAACAACATCTGCCTATCCCATCCTTGGAAAGGACTCTGTGTGTCTGCCAAGAATCCAAAATCTTCCATTTCCCTCTGTTGTTCTATCTTTTCCTAAACCAGAGAAAGTTTGTTTTTTTCAAGAAAGACAGAAAACCCTTGCAACCTTTACAAGTATAGAGGTCCCTCTGCATCCAACCTAGAAGAATGGTTTTAATATGGAGAGAAACATTTGGGAAACTGAATCCTTTCACCATGCCTCACGTCCCTGACACACTTTTCCCTTCAATGCTTCTTCAATGTTATTTTAACTTTTTTCTTTAAAAAAAAAACAAGGATAATAAGATCACATGAAGAGAACAGCAGAGATCAATTAAGTATCTAATTTCTCCACAAGCTACCTCTGTCACAAAACCCAAATGGTTGCCACTATACAGAGACTGATACTGGGTGTGTAGTAGGTTGTAAGCTCCTAGCAGGGTTGAACTTGACTCACCACTGCTAGCAACAGCAACAAATAATGGTTCCTTTAAGGAAAAATAACAATTTGCAGAAGTTTCCCTTTTCTCATAATAATCCACCTGGTTTATTCTCTTATCTTGATTCTCTGCAGGAGTATGAGATAGAAGGCTCTGGAAACAAGATGCTTCCCACCCCCCATCCCACCCTCAATCTTTTCCCATCCAGATAAGTTGAAATTGTAACACCTGACATTTTAAGTCTAGGCAGCTTATACAGATCCTGCACTGCTTGATCCTGCTAAAGCTTAATCTAGTCCAAGATTTGGTTTCCAAAAGAGGCCAGACAGGTGCTCTTGGCAACTCAGAAGGTGAGAAAAATGGCAAACAGTTTTTTTGTTTGCTTGTTTGTTTTCTGTTACCTGCAGCTAGTCTCAATGTTACCATGTTACCTTCTAATACAGATTTCCCTTAGTTCTTATGGCTGATCATAGCTTAAATCCTTGTGTTAATTTTTAAAATGTAAAGTGACACAGAAAGAGATGGAACCAGTTTAGGGCATGAACATGCCAAAATTGTATAGAAGAAATACAGACTTATCCATCACTATTGTTACAGTTATCTTGGCTCTGTGTTCAGCAAATCATCCTGCATTTGAAATGACACTCTCTGAAGGAATTGTGTTCTCTTGCAACATGTATGACCTACCAGTATGTAAAGTGGATAGCTAAGCTACTGATATGTTTGTGTACATAGGTTTTTTTACTTGCAATATTTTTGTTTGCCATGTTTGCATTATCATAAATTATAGCTATGAGCTAATACCAGATTGGTGTATGATAGCTAGGAATCTTAGGGATTTTATTTCACCTACATTTCAAAATGAAACAACCAGATTTGTATACTGTAATCTGAATTAATTTGTTGATGAGAATGCAGTTGTACTTAAACTTTTATACTTCTCCAACATTTGCAATACAGTACAGACATACTGTATATTTGCTTATTGCATTTATGTCTTCCTGGTCTTTTCTCTGAACAATGAAGCATCTTACATGAGAAACTCCCCTCATCACATTTTATATTGATTTTTAGAAAAAATATCAAAGCACATTCCTTCAGTTTAGCTTTTTGTCCCGTTTACTGTTGGCACATTCTTTTTCTAAAAATGAATTTTAACTGTGTTTTTCATTGGGTTCTTAATTAATTTGGTTTGTTTAAATTTCATGTTTTCCTACAAGCTGGTTTAAATGCCCTTTTTGGGTGAAAGGAATAAAATGCATACATCTGCACATCATGTTTGTAATATGTGGTGGAGCAATGTGTCAATTTTTAAAATGCAAAGTGACACAGAAAGAGATGGAACCACTTTAGAGCATGAACATGCCAAAATTGTATAGAAGAAATACAGACTCATCCATCACTATTGTTACAGTTATCTTGGCTCTGTGCTCAGCAAATCATCCTGTATTTGAAATGACACTCTGAAGGAGCTGTGTTCTCTTACAACATGTGTGACCTCCATCAGCTTCCTATAAATGTCCCGAAATACTCATGGCCCCTTGTCATTGTGCCTGCCACCCTTCCACAGCCCTACCTCAAGAATGAGCTTTTAAAAATCTTCTGATTATACATGTTCAGATGCATAATGAAAATTAATTAGGGCAGGCATAAAAATCTAACAGCCCAGCCTACATCATGAAGATGGGGATAATGAGAATGCACAATGACAGCCATTAATAAACTTAATTGCCCAAGGCAAAAGTGCGAATAAAATATCCCAGCCTTTTTCTTGCAGATAAGGTGTTTCTCAGCTACTATTGTAATGTTCAGGCAGTAGCACGGGATGCAGCTATGGAGGAAGTAGCAATCGGATTGTTCTTATAATTTAAGAGGTGGGACACTGTTGGAGAAACATCAGAATAGCATCATTAGAGCAGTGAGTGCCTTTTGCCTAAAGCATATTTTATGGGCAGTGGAGGTTAATATCAGCAATTCTATGAGATAAAAAATGCTGCAGTCTCCTCTCCCCTTCAGATAGTCTTTAGAAGGGCCTCTTAGAAGTCATGTGACCCCATTCAAGCATCTTTCCGATCAGTGCTGAAAGATTAATGAAGAAGAGACGGCATCAATGGATGCTCTTCTCCTTACGCTTCTCTGTCAAGTCTGAACAGCAATATCAAGGGCACTTTAATCCAGCCAGCCAGAACAGGGCATGACATATATACAGGGATGCCTTTTTTGTTGCACTACAAGGTGATTTTTACAGAGCCTCAGTCTGGTCATCAGAAGAAAAAAAAATCTGGCTTATAAAGGCAATTCTAAAGCCAAATTGAAATAGTCCCATTTCAGAGTGGCTCAATCAGTTCAAACCCACTTGGGTCTGGAGATACATTTTAAATCACATCCAGTCCATAAAATTACTGTAGCTATAGATCTGTCCTAAGAGCTAGTTTGGCATAGAGTTAAGGCACCAGGATAGTAACTGGGAGACTGTAAATTCTAGTGTCACTTTAAGCACAGAACCAGCTGGGTAATCTTGGGCCAGTCATTTACTGTCAACTCCCAGAAGAAGGAAATGGCAAGCCACTTCCAAACATCTTGTCAAGAAAACTGCAGGGATCAGTCCTGGCAGTCACCAGGAGTCACAGTGACTTGAAACCCCCTTCTCACAGACACAAATACCAATAAAATAAATATGGTTTATTTCTTGTCTTGGCCAGTTTGTGGCCTGTCAGTTCAAGGCTGGAACCTAGGAAATAAGAAACAAGTAATGTCTGATCACAGAGACAAAGTTCTGTGGAATTTACTTTAGTTAGGGAAACAGGTGCTATGGGAATTTAACTTCTTCAAATGTTGATGCCCAATGGAGCTCCTATTTCTCCAAAAGTTGTGATCATGTACTTGGCTAAAAAAGAAGAAATAAAAATACCTTTTTGAGACTGGACTTGTTTAGAAGTAATCCTGTGACAGAAAGGATATTTAAATACATATTTGGATACAAGGTTTCATGTAAATTAAGGAAATAGCAGCTGTCAAGTACAAACAATAGATTACAACTGCAAATCACAAAGAGCAAATTATAACTAGATCGAACACATTTAAACAAATATGAAAGCCAAATAAAGCGTATACAGATTGATCCAGAATTTGTGTCTTGTCATATGAGTTTGTTCTGCCTAGCTGTAATTTGGTCTTTGTAATACATATATTATAAAATATTTTTATTTTTCCTGTGTCAGTCTTGATGCCTAATAACTACCTGGGAGAGTCTATGGATTGTCTAGGCAATATTTTTAG